CCCCAGCACGGAGTGGCGCAGTCTCCCAGGACCACACTTGCCCTAGTTCTTGGGGATTTCGAAACACAGAGATCACCTTCCAGGGCCCGGCGCTCAGCTCCTCCGCATGCGGTTCCTTTGCCCGCTTCTCGCTCCCCGAGGCTGGCCCAGCGGCGCCTCACCGATCCCGGCAGGTGCTCAAGCCAACACCTCGGGGTCGTCCTCACGGCTCTGCCGGGCCCCCTCCACAGCAGGTCGGCTGGCCTGGCCTTCAGCCTAACCCCACTGCTTCCGTGTTATCACCAGCTCTGGACCCGGGAGCAGCCCGGTGCCCTCAGGGTTGCACCCTGGATCGCCCGCCCCCCCCCACCCCCCGGCATCTCTCCTCAACACAGCAGCGAAGGCCCCAGATCCAACCTCCCACAGCTGCGCCCACAGGCCTCCCTGCCCCCGGTCCTCTGACCTTCCCCAGCGGCCCTCCCCTCTTGCTTCCTGTGCTCTGGCCACCAGGCCCTTATCCAAGCATGGCCTGCTCTACATGTCTTGGCTTGGAAGGCTGGGGGGTCCCCTTCTCAGTGCCAACTTCCCAGTAGGTGCGCCCCTTCCCTCCCATCACTTGCTTTCCTCTGGGAGAATGACAATCGAGCACACCTGTCCCCCAGCCGGCGGGCATGTGAGCTCCCCGAGGCAGGGCTCTGTTGTTTCTGCACCTCGTGCACCCCTTCTGGGCCTAAAGCAGGCCCAGCACCAAGCAGGGGTGCAGCCAGCGTTTGCTGAGTGAACGAACGAACGAATGAATGAATGAATGATTTTCCTGTTGGTCTCTTAGCAGCTCAGTGAGCAGACTTGTGGGGACTGAGCGAGGGACCCGCCCTGCCAGGTACTCCCCAGAGGCCCGGCCAGGCAGAGCTCTGCTCTCCTTTTGGCGAAAACACCACAACGTGTTTGTTTTTAAAGCGAATGAGGAAATGGCATTTCAGCCTGTGCTGGGGCGAGACCAGAGACCTGCCCTGCCTGACCCCAGGCGGATGCCTGCTCAGCGACCCCGTGACCTGATGGATGAGCAGCTCCCTGCCATGGGAACCAGCAGGGGAGGTGACCCACCACCTTGACCTTGACCTTAAGGGTCACAGGGCTAGACATGAGCCAGGAGACAGGGCGGGAGGGGGAGGGAGGAGAGTGGAAAAGTGGAGGCAAAGCCTTACAGCGGTTCTCAACCTGTGGGTTGTGAACAATGAAAATACATCCTGCATATCAGATAGTTACATGACGATTCATAACAGCAGCATAATTACAGTTATGAAGTAGCAACGAAAATAATTTTATGGTTGGGGGTCACCACAACATGAGGAACTGCATTAAAGGGTCGCAGCATCAGGAAGGTTGAGAACCACTGGAGGTGTCTGGACCAGGGTCTCCCCTCCCCCTGCTCTGTACCCCACCCCCTTAGAGCACAGAGACCAGGTCCCCAGCCCGCCCACTGTGTCTCAGAGGAGGCAGCCTCCCATTGCTGCACCTGGGAGCAGGGGCTGGACTTCCCCTTTGCTCACTGCCTCCCCCCTACTCCCCCCGCACCCGTCCCGCGCCCTCTCTGGGGTCACGCCCACCCCACAGAGCTGTGAGGCTTCTGGAGTGGCTTCTGCTCCATACATGGCACCCCGGGGCAGAGTGATGGGGCTACAGCTGCCCAGGGATCCCCCCCAACACACACACAGCCCCATGTCCCCTGGAGGCCCCCTTCCTAGCCTCCTCCTCTCTCCCCCTCCCCCCAGAGCTCTGCAGGGGTTGGGGCCGGGTTTTAGGATTGTCCGATTGTCCATCAGCAGGCACCCTCTCACCCAGCAGCACCCTCCCCGCAGCCAAGTCCCTTCCTGGGTGGGGCCCTTGTCCCGCCCGCCTGCTGGGCTGCTCACCTCTCTCTGGCGTGGTGGATGGGCTGCTGGTGGTGGATGGGCTGCTGGTGGCTGTGAGAGAGAGAGGTGCGGAGGGGTGAGAGGGTGGGTTGGGGGAGGCTGCAGGCCACCAGGGAGCCTCCTCCTGAGCCCCGAGGGAGGCACAGGGGTATCGAGTGTCCTCACTCACGAAAGCTGTTTTGAGCCCACGATGAGCTCATCAGCCCGTTTCGTGGATGTGTGAATAGTGGGCTGGAGAAGCGGATGGAGAAGCAGCGACTGGGCCGCACATGCCGTGACGGGCTGGTCTGAGACTCAAGCCCATGTCTTTGCCTCTGCGTCCTGTGCTCCCGGGGTGTCCATACCCGCGGTCCCACCTCCTCTGTGCCCCCCCCCCGCACCCACCTCAGTGCAGGGGCCCCTCCCAAGATGTCCCCGGAGGCTCACCCAGCGCGGCCAAGCAGAACAGCAGTGGGAGCCTCATGCCTGTCGGTGTGGGGCCTCCTCTGCCCAGGCTCAGAAAGCCTCCCCTGGTGGGGCCTCCTCCAGCCCGGACTCCCAGGATGCTCCCTGGGAGGGACCTGCATTGGGGAGATAACCCCGAGGCCCTGGGGGCCCTGGGGCCCCAGCACCAGGGCTGGGCCCCCAACAGCAGCCTCCACCACACCCCGCAGGGAACTCGCCGCCTCTGTTGGGCTGTGGCCCTGCGCTTGCTGGGCGGGTGGGTGTCCAATCCTGAGCCCTGGAGTCCGCCTGTTCCTAGGATGAGGCTCGAGTTGGTTAATCTTATGACTTCGAGGCGGGGGATTACCCTGGATGATTGGGGTGGACCTGGTGTGACCCTGGGGGCCCCGCCCAGGCCCCACGGGGGGTCTGACACAGGCTGGAGAGCCTGTGGGCTGGACCCATCAGAGAAGCAGGCAGGAGGGGCAACTTCCGGCATCGCACCTGGTTCACTCGTGACCACCTTCGGGCGCCTGTTAGGTGCCGATGCTGGGCTCAGCCCTGAGTAACCTCAGGCTGGGTGAGGCCGGGCAGGTGCTGGGCTGGAGCCCGCCCTGAGCGAGGACAGGGGAGGGACCGCACTCCTAAGAAGGGCAAGGCACCCAGGGACCGGGACACTGTGTAATCGCTATTTAACCCTCACAGGCACTCCGAGGGTGGCTGAGGCCCAGATACCGACTCCCCCAAGGCTCCCAGCTCCAGGGAGGCTGCCTGGCGCCTGGCCGGCTCTCAGGAAGTGCTCCCTGGAGGGACAGGTGGTAGTAAAGGACCTCAGGGCTCTGTGCTGCGGTTCTCACGTGAGCACCACCATCACCCAGGGGCTCACCCACCGGGCCCCACCCTTAGAGCTCGCTCTCTTTTTTGTTTTAATTTATTGATTTTAGAGAGAAAGGTAGAGGGAGAGATAGGAACATCAATGATGAGAGAGAATCACTGATAGGCTGCCTCCTGCATGTGCCCCACTGGGGTTTAAGCCTGCAACCCGGGCCTGTGTCCTGACCTGGAGTCCAACCATGACCTCCTGGTTCACAGGTCAGCGCTCCACCACTGAGCCACATGGCCGGGCCGCCCTTAGAGCCCTCCTGAGTCCGGAGCCGCGCGGGCCTGAGTTTGCATTTCTAGCAGGTTCCCAGGCGACGCGGAGGCTGCTGGCGGGGAGCACAGGTTGGCCCCGAGATGCTCGTGAGCACGCGTCACGTT